AGCTGTTAGTGTTCGCCGCCCGCAGACCATAGTATGCACCACAACCATTTGTCCAAGGCACTTGTCACTAAGACACTTGTCACAAGGCACTTGTCACAAAGAACCTGTCACTAAGACACTTGTCACTAAGACACTTGTCACTAAGACACTTCTCACTAAGACACTTGTCACTAAGACACTTGTCACTAAGACACTTGTCACTAAGACACTTGTCACTAAGACACTTGTCACTAAGACACTTGGCTTATTGTTTGTACGTGTGTGTGTACTCCTCTAATTGTAGTTGCAGTGGTCGAGTCATAGCTCCTGGCCTCACCTCTACACTGGTCGCTACTAGGTTCTCTCTCCCTGCTCCATGAACTTAATCATACCTCTTCTTAAAACTATGTATGGATCCTACCTCCACTACATCACTCTCTACACTGTTCCACTTCCTGACAACTCTGTGACTGAAGAAGTACTTCCTGACATCCCTGTGACTCATCTGAGCTTTCAACTTCCAGTTGTGACGCATTGATGCTGTGTCACGTCTCTGAAACATTCCGTCTCTACCTGGTATGTCAATTCCTTTCAGTATTTTATATGTTGTTATTATGTTCCCCCTGTTTTCCAATGTGTACTCACCTTGTTGTGGATGCAGGGGATCGATTCATAGCTCCTGGTCCCACCTCTTCACCGGCCGCTACTGGGTCACTCTCCCTGCACTGTGAGCTTTATCATACCTTTTCTTAAAGCTATGACTGGATCATGCCGCCACCACATCGCTTCCTGAACTATTCCACTTCCTGACTACTCTGTGACTGAAGAAATACTTCCTATCATCCCTGTGATTCATCTGTGTCTTCAACTTCCAACTGTGTCCTCTTATTGCTGTGTCCCATCTCTGGAACTTTCTGTCTCTGTCCATCTTGTCAATTCCTCTCAGTATTTTATATGTCGTTATCATGTCGTCCCTATTTCTCCTGTCTTCCAGTGTCGTCAGATTGATTTGCCTTAACCTCTCCTCGTAGAACATACCTCTTAGCTCTGGGACTAGTCTTGTTGCAAACCTTTGCACTTTCTCTAGGTTCTTTACGTGCTTGGCTAGATGTGGATTCCAAACTGGTGCCGCATACTCCAATATGGGCCTAACGTACACGGTGTACAGGGTCTTGAACAATTCCTTATTAAGATGTCGGAATGCTGTTCCGAGGTTTGCTAGGCGCCCATATGCTGCAGCAGTTATTTGGTTGATGTGCGCTTCAGGAGATGTGCCTCGTGTTATACTCACGCCACGATCTTTTTACTTGAGTGAGGTTTGTAGTTTCTGGCCCCCCTAGACTGTACTCCGTCCGTGGTCTTTTTTGCCCTTCCTCAATCTTCATGACTTTGCACTTGGTGTGTGTGTACTCACCTAGTTACTCACCTAGTTGAGGTTGCAGGGGTCGAGTCCAAGCTCCTGGCCCCGCCTCTTCACTGGTCGCTACTAGGTCACTCTCCCTGAACCATGAGCTTTATCGTACCTCTGCTTAAAGCTATGTATGGATCCTGACTCCACTACATCGCTGTGTGTGTGTGTGTGTGTGTGTGTGTGTGTGTGTGTGATTTGGATGGAGTAGCCGGCCTGGCTGGGATACCTGGCCTGACCGGAGTAGCCGGCCTGGCTGGCTTAATGCTTATTGACAGACTATAACGCTGTGCATTGTGCCGCCAGACAATGCAATTTACTACGGTCACATTTGCATAATGGCGGACGCGCCACGTAACTATATCTGTACGAATAAATAGCTAAGCATCTGCACACACACACACACACACACATTATGTGGACACACACACACACACGAAGAGGCGGGGCTAGGAGATGTGAATCGACCCCTGCAACCACAAACTGGTGAGCACACATACACACACACACACAAACACCGGAGTCTTGATCCTCCCACGAGAGGCATGACGGATCTGCTACCTCACATTTTTAACCTCTGTTTTTAACATTCCTGGAAAAGAATATAACAATCGTTATATCGAAGAAGAGAAAGAATAAGAACCTCCTCTCCTGGATTACATAATATTAACACAGCATCACAACAAGTCAGCTTCCCGCTGCTCACTTGAATATTCTTGTTAATATGTAAGGATTAACAATTCGTTTTCTTCAAATTGTATCCGTATTGTTACAAATGGTAATAATTACGAGACAATAACAAAAATAGCTTTACATAAATAACCCGACTAGTGTCATAATGGTCGAAGTCGGACTGGAATGCGGTCATCATTTTCAGTCTTACGTGAGGCCTGGTCTCAGACAGAGCGGCGGGGGCGTTGACCCCCGACACCCTCTCCAGGTATACTCCAGGTACACGTCTTATTTGTACATTGTTCCACTCACGGCATTGTGTTTCATTATTTTTAAAGTTTCCTTTATTGCGCACGAATATCTCAGTCACGTGCTATAAATATTAAGGAAATCATAATAAGTAATAATATAAGTTTAGATATTCGTGGCTTATAAAAACCAGCGTCAGTTTTATTAAAAAAAAAAATGCTGACTTCTCCCCAAAGTGTCGTGTCATTCGTACTCTGGGTCAGCATTGACTAATTTAAACCATAAACACACAGGTGAAGTCACCCATCATCTCTGCCGGATTCTAAGGCATTGTAAACATGTTGATAAATTAGACACATGTGCAACTCTTGGGTATCTTTATTAAGGAAACGTTTCGCCACACAGTGGCTTCATCAGTCCATACAAAGGAGAATCTTGAAGAACAGGAGGAGAATGAGGTAATCAGTCCCTCAACCTTGAGTCGATGTGGTCAGTCCATCAATCTATTCAAGATTGATGGACTGACCACATCGACTCAAGGTTGAGGGACTGATTACCTCATTCTCCTCCTGTTCTTCAAGATTCTCCTTTGTATGGACTGATGAAGCCACTGTGTGGCGAAACGTTTCCTTAATAAAGATACCCAAGAGTTGCACATGTGTCTAATTTATCAACATGTCGGTTCTCTGAACCATTCATCTACAAAGCATTGTAAACATGCAGGCTGGTCATTTCTAATCCCCCATAGACGAGTTATTACAATTTTTTCGCCACTTTTATACCTTGCAGAGGCCGTCTAGAAGAATATCAATTTACCTTTTTCACGGTGAAAATTATTTTCAGGTATTATCTTTCTTCTGTGAAGGGAACACATTTTTAATCTTTCTTCCGTTTTTTCCCATCGAGGCCAGATGTTTTGCCAATGATGGTTCTAACGATGCGACGTAAGATGAAGATGGAGAGGAGGAGAGCCAAAAGTAGGAAGAAGAACAGGTCAAGCATCAGGAACTGTATCCAGGAGGAGAGTGCTGCTGAGGTCCTGAGATGAGGAGCTCCGCCATGACGGATCACATACTCCGTCCAGAACACTGCCACCTCCCTGGGCGGCAGCATCTGATCTCGTATCCTTCCTGATATCTTCACCACTTCCTTCTTGTACCTGACCATCAGCAGATGTGGAAATAATTAAGTTATTGCAGAGAAAGGACGTACATTTCCATTGCAACTTATGAACAAGACACGCGTGCAACACCCGGGTACCATCATCATGAACTCATTTCACTGACCTTTTCAATACAATACAGAGAGAACATAGCGGAGGAAATGGAAGATAACCAGCTACATTACCTGTATCTTAATAATCAACTTGTTGGTATTGTAAACCTTTAATATAACGATAACTTATTATAAAAATACACAAAGTTAGTTATATTGCTAAGTATGTAAATATTATTTTTGTATCTCGCTTGGGAACTTAAAAAATTGTTGTAATACAAAAAAAGTTTATAAATAACAAAAATAATTATTATTTCAATAATTTAAATAAATTAAGGGTTATCGTACATGGAAACAGATTATTATACGTTATCCAAAACTTTTGTCAACTATTAAATAAATCGTGGATTGTTTTCTTATTAAAATATTTTGTTTTGGATTATAGAAATGCTTTGACAAAGCACATTTGAGAAGTGATAATAGTAACAGTGATATCGGGAAAGTCCTGCTATTTTCACTGTTTAAATTCTTGTGAAACTCAATGCGCGTTTTAGATGATGTAAAATATCAACTAAGATTTAGTCAGTGGCAGTTTACTGGGTAGTCGGGACACTAAGATTTAGTCAGTGGCAGTTTACTGGGTAGTCGGGACACTAAGATTTAGTCAGTGGCAGTTTACTGGGTAGTCGAGACACTAAGATTTAGTCAGTGGCAGTTTACTGGGTAGTCGGGACACTAAGATTTAGTCAGTGGCAGTTTACTGGGTAGTCGGGACACTAAGATTTAGTCAGTGGCAGTTTACTGGGTAGTCGGGAAACTAAGATTTAGTCAGTGGAAGTTTACTGGGTAATCGGGACACTAAGATTTAGTCAGTGGCAGTTTACTGGGTAGTCGGGACACTAAGATTTAGTCAGTGGCAGTTTACTGGGTAGTCGGGACACTAAGATTTAGTCAGTGGCAGTTTACTGGGTAGTCGGGACACTAAGATTTAGTCAGTGGCAGTTTACTGGGTTGTCGGGACAATAAGATTTAGTCAGTGGCAGTTTACGGGGTACTCGGGGCACTAAGATTTAGTCAGTGGCAGTTTACTGGGTAGTCGAGACACTAAGATTTAGTCATTGGCAGTTTACTGGGGAGTCGAGACACTAAGATTTAGTCAGTGGCAGTTTACTGGGTAGTCGGGAAGCAAAGATTTAGTAAATTGGAAATTTACGGTAGTCGGGACACTAAGATTTAGTCAGTGGCAGTTTACTGGGTAGTCGGGACAATAAGATTTAGTCAGTGGCAGTTTACTGGGTAGTCGGGACAATAAGATTTAGTCAGTGGCAGTTTACTGGGTAGTCGGGACACTAAGATTTAGTCAGTGGCAGTTTACTGGGTAGTCGGGACACTAAGATTTAGTCAGTGGCAGTTTACTGGGTAGTCGGGGAAATAAAGATTTAGTCAGTGGCAGTTTACTGGGTAGTCGGGAACTAAGATTTTAGTCAGTGGCAGTTACTGGGTAGTCGGGACAATAAGATTTAGTCAGTGGCAGTTTACTGGGTAGTCGGGACACTAAGATTTAGTCAGTGGCAGTTTACTGGATAGTCGGGACAATAAGATTTAGTCAGTGGCAGTTTACTGGGTAGTCGGGACACTAAGATTTAGTCAGTTGCAGTTTACTGGGAAGACGGGACACTAATATTTAGTCAGTGGCAGTTTACTGGGTAGTCGTGACACTAAGATTTAGTCAGTGGCAGTTTACTGGGTAGTCGAGACACTAAGATATTAGTCAGGTGGGCAGTATACTGGGTAGGGTCGGGATATAGGATTGAGTCATGGCAGGTTACTGGGTAGGTCGGGACAATAAGATTTAGCCATTGGCAGTTTAACTGGGTATCGGGACACTAAGATTAAGTCAGTGGCCAGTTTACTTGGGTAGTCGAGAACTAGATTTAGTCATGGCAGTTTACTGGGTATCGAAGACAACTAATATTTAGTCAGTGTCAGTTAGCTGAGTAGTCGGGGACACTAATATTTAGTCAGTGGCAGTTTACTGGGTAGTCGTGACACTAAGGGTAGTTTAAGTTGAGTGGCAGTTTTCTAGGTAGTCCGAGACAACTAAAGTTAGTCCAGTGGCAGTTTATTTACTGGGTAGTTCGGGACGCTAAGTTTAGTCAGTGTGCAGTTTACTGTTAATCGGGACAAACTAATATTAGTCCATGGCAAGTTTTTCTGTTCGGGAGACATAATATTTAGTCATGGCAGTTTAACGGGTTATCACGGGGCACTAGATTCTTAGTCAGTGGCAGTTTTACTGGGTAGTCCTGAACACTAAGATTTTAGTCATTGCAGTTTACTGGGGAGTCGAGACACTAAGATTTAGTCCTTGCAGTTTATACTGGTAGTCGTGTGACGCTAAATTTAGTCAGTTGCAGTTTTACAGGGTAGTCGGGACACTAGATTTAGTCCATTGGCAGTTACTGTGTTGTCGGACAATAAGATTAAGTCAGTGGCAGTATTTACTGGGTACTCGGGCCACTAGATTTAGTCAGTGGCAGTTGTACTGGGTATCGAGACACTAAGATTTAGTCCAGTGGCAGTTTACTGGGTAGTCCGGGACACTAAGAGTATAGTCGGGGGGAGTGGCAGTTTACTGGTAGTCGGGACCACTGAAGATTTAGTCCAGTGGCAGTTTAACTGGGTTGTTCGGGACTCTAAGATTTATTGCAGTGGCAGTAACTGGGTAGTCGGGACAATAAGATTTTAGTCAGTGGCATTTACTGGTAATCCTGGACACTAATGATTTAGTCCAGTGGCAGTTACTGGGAGATCGGGACAATAATATTTAGTCATGGCAGTTTACTGGGTAGTCGGGACACTAAGATTTAGGTCCAGTTGCCAGTTTACTGGGAAGGACGGGACACTAATATTTAGTCAGTGGCAGTTTACACTACCAGGTAGTCGTGACACTAAGATTAGTCAGTGGGTCAGTTTTACTGGGTAAGTCGAGACCTAAGATTTAGTCAGTGGGCAGTTTTACTGGGTAGGCGGGATACTAGGATTTTAGTCATGGCATTTACTTGGGTAGTCGGGACAATAAGATTTAGTCATTGGCAGTTTTTAAACTGGTAGTCGGGACACTAAGATTTAGTCAGTGGCAGTTTAACTGGTATCGAGACACTAAGATTTAGTCAGTGGCAGTTTAAGCTTGGGTAGTCGAGACACTAATAATTAGTCAGTGCAGGTTACCTGAAGTAGTCCGGACACTAATATTTTGAGTCAGTTGGTCAGTTTTAGCTGTGTAATCGGACAACTAAGGATTTAGATGAGTGGCCTTTACTGGGTACAGTCGAGACACTAAGGATTTAGTCATTGGCAGGGTTTACTGGTCAGTACGGGAACGCTAAAGATTTAGTCAGTTGCAGTTCACTGGTTAGTCCGGGAACACTAAGATTTTAGTCCAGTGGCAGTTACTGGTTGTCGGGACAATAAGATTATAGTCCTGTGGCAGTTTACGGGGTACTCGGGTCCCTAAGATTTAGTCAGTGGCAGTTTTAACTGGGTAGTTGCCCGAGACACAAAGATTCGTCAGTGGCAGTTACTGGGTAGTCGGGACACTAAGATTAAGTCAGTGGCAGTTTACTGGGTAGTCGTACACAAAGATTTAGTCAGTGGCAGTTTACTGGGTAGTCGGGACACTAAGATTTAGTCATGCAGTTTACTGGGTAGTCGGGACAATAAGATTAGGTCAGATGGCAGGTTTACTGGGTAGTCGGGGTACACTAAGATTTAGTCAGTGGCAGTTTACTGGATATGTCGGGACAATAAGATATATTCAGTGGGCTAGTTTAACTGGGTAGTCGACACTAAGATTAAGTCAGTTGCAGTTTACTGGGAAGAACGGTGGACACAAATATATTAGTCAGTGGCAGTTTACTGGGTAGTGCGGTGACACTAAGATATAGTGCAGTGGCAGTTTACTGGGTAGTCCGAGACACTAAGGATTTATTCATGGCAGTTTTCACTGGTAGTCGGGATTACTAGAATTTAGTCCAGTGGCAGTTACTGGGTAGTCCGGACAATAAGATATAGTCATTGGCAGTTTACTGGGTAGTCGGGACACTAAGATTTAGTCAGTGGCAGTTTACTGGTTAGTCGAGACACTACTATTTGTCAGGCAGTTTACTAGGGTATCGAGACACTAATAATTAGTCAGTGGCAGTTTACTGAGTAGCTCGGGACACTAAGATTTTAGTCAGTGGCAGTTTTACTGGGTAGTCGGTACACCAAGATTTAGTGAGTGCAGTTTTACACTGGTAGTCGAGACCACTAAAGATTTAGTCAGTGGCAGTTTACTGGTATTCGGGACGCTAAATTTAGATCAGTGGCAGTTTACTGGGTATTTCGGGACAGCTAAGATTTAGTCAGTGTGCAGTTTACTGTGGTTGTCGGGACAATAGATTTAGTCAGTGGCAGTTTTATACGGGGTACTCGGGGCACAAAGATTTAGTCAGTGGCAGTTAACTGGGTAGTCGAGACACTTAAGATTTTAGTCATTTGCAGTTTTACTGGGGATTCGAGACACTAAAATTTAATCAGTTGGCAGTTTACTGGGTTAGTCGGTGACGCTAAGATTTAGTCAGTGCAGTTACTGGGTAGTCCGGGATCTAAGATTTAGTCAGTGGCAGTTTACTGGGTTGTCGGGACAAATAAATTTATCAGTGGCATTTTTACTGGGAAAACTTCTGGGCACTAAGATTTAGTCAGTGGCAGTTTACTCTGGTATCGAACACTAAGATTTAGTCAGTGCAGATTTACATTGGTAGTATTCGGGACATAAGAGTTTAGTCAGTGCCAGTTTACTGGGTAGTGGGACACGAAGATTTAGTCAGTTGCAGTTTACTGTGGTAGTCGTACTCTCAAGAATTTAGTCAGTGGCAGTTTTAACTGGGTATACGGGACAAAAGATTGTAGTCCAGTGGTCAGTTTACATGGTAGTCGGGACACTAAGATTTAGTCATTGTCAGTTTACTGGATAGTCGGGACAATAAGATTTAGTCAGAGCAGTTTACTGGGTATTCGGACACTAAGAATTAGTCATTTGCAGATACTGGGGAAGCGGGACACTAATATTTAGTCAGTGGAAGTTACTGGGTAGTCCTGACACTAAGATTTAGTCAGTGGCAGTTTACTGGGTAGTCGAGACACTAAGATATAGTCATGGCATTTACTACTGGGTAGCGGGATATCTAGGATTTAGTCAGTGGCAGTTTTTACTGTGATAAGTACGGGACAAATAAGATTTAGTCATTGGCAGTATACTGGGTATCGGGACACTAAGATTTTATTCAGTTGCAGTTTATGGGTAGACGTGATGACACTAAGATTTAGTACAGAGGCAGTTACTGGGGTAAGTCGAGACACTAGATATTAGTCAGAGTGGCAGTTACTGAGTAGTCTGCGGACACAAAGAATTTAGTCAGAGGCAGTTTACTGGGTAGTCGGACACTAATATTTATTGAGTGGCATATTGACTTGGTTAGTCCCGAGACACTAAGATTTAGACATTGGCAGTTACTGGGTAGTCGGGACTCTAAGATTTAGTCATTGGCATACCCTGGTTAGTCGGGACACTAATATTTAGTCCAGTGGCGTTTACTGGGTGTCGGGACAATAGGAGATTTAGTCATGGCAGTTTACGGGGTACACGGGGCACTAAGATTTAGTCATGGCAGTTTATACTGGGTAGTCGAGAACACTAAGATTTAGTCATTAGCAGTTTACACTGAGGTAGTCGATACACTAGATTAAGTCCAGAGTGGCAGTTTACTGGGTAGTCGGGACACTAAGAGTTAGTCAGTGCAGTTTACTGGGTATCGGGACGGTACTCTAAAGTATATAGCATGTGGCAGTTACAGGTGTAGTCGGACACTAAAATTTAGTCAGTGGCAGTTAACCTGGGTTTGTCGGACAATAAGATTTGTCCAGTGGCAGTTTACTGGGTACTCGGGGCACTAAGATTTAGTCAGTGGCAGTTTACCTGGATCGAGACACTAAGATTTAGGGTCGAGTGGCAGTTTACTGTGTAGCCGGGACACAAAGATTTTGTCAGTGCAGTTTACTGTGTAGTCGGGACACTAAGATTTATTCAGTGGCAGTTATACTGGGTAGTCCGGGGACACTAAGATAGTTAGTCAGTGCAGTTTACTGGGTAGTCGGTAAAATAAGATTTAGTCAGTTGTGCTAGTTTACTGGTAAGCCGGGACACTAAGATTTAGTCAGTGGCAAGATTTACTGGATAGTCGGGACAATAAGATTAATGTCAGTGCAGTTTTACTGGGTAGTCGGGACACTATGATTTAGTCCAGTTTGCAGTTTTACTGGAAACGGGACACTAATATTTAGTCAGTGGCAGTTTACTGGGTTATAGTCGTGAACCACTAAGATTTATTCAGTGGCCAGTTTTACTGGGAAGTCGAGACACTAAGATTTAGTCAGTGGCAGTTTTACTGGGTAGTTCGATACTAGGATTTAGTCAGTGGCAGATTACAGGTTAGTCGGGAAATAAGATTTGAGTCATTGGCAGTTTACTGGGTAGTCGTGGACACTAAGATAAGGTCAGTGCCAGTTTACTGGTATAAGACACTAAGATGTAGTCATGGCAGTTTACTGTATCGAGACACTAAGATTAGTCCAGTGGCAGTTTACAGAGTTAGGTCGGGACACTAAAGATTTAGTCCATGATGAATTGGTTTTGCAAAAACCGGACGACAAGTTGAAGATTGATACACTTATGCAGCATATGGGAATCTTTATTCAATGAAACGTTTCGCCTACAGTGGCTTCTTCAGTCCAATACAAAGTGGAAGGCGAAAGAGAGGAGGAGAATGGAGGTAATCAGTCCCTCAACTGGAGTCCCGATGTGTTTCAGGTCCCCCCAAAATATCAGTTCTTGTAGATTGATGGACTGAACACATCGACTCCCAGGTTAGGGACTGATTACCCATTCTCCTCCACTCCTTAACGCCTTCCTCTTTGTATTGGACTGAAGAAGCCACTGGTGGCGAAACGTTTTCCTGAGATAAAGATTCCCATAAGCTGCATAAATGTTTCTCAATCTGCCAAGATTTAGTCATTGGCAGTTTACTGTGGGTAGGTATTCGAGACACTTAAATTTAGCAGTTGCAGTTTTATACTGGTTAGTCGTGGACACTCTGCTATGAAATGAAACCAATTAAATGTATAAATCTCAGATGTGGTGAATGCATGGGTCCAGTGATACTCAACTTGAATGCATGTAAAAATTAGCAACTAACCTGGAATACTGATGAAGATCATCAAGAGCCTTGAGGAGAGAGTCAGCAGTGAGCTCATTCCAGGCCAGCTTCAGACCCAGGCCAGCCTCCTCGATGAAGAGGGCGTTCTTGGGTTGGTCGCTGAAGATGGGGAAGGCCAGGAGGGGCGTAGCGTGGTAGATAGACTCCTGCAAGCTGAGTAGACCACCGTGGGTAATAAATACCTTCACGTTCTTGTGGGCTGCAATGCAAGTAAACAGACTCGTGGCATTACAGTTATAGAGAAGGGGCGGCGGCCTTCACGTTCTCAAAACACTTAAGAAATTTGAATTGACAAATGAAAACTAAACTTTAAAACGTTCAGTTCAAATTTGTAGTAACTATGTTGGTGGATTTGTGCTGAAATAATCTGTGACAAAGAGAAGATACTAGTATAAAAAACTCATCTTCAATGGTTCTCTGGAAAGACAGACTGTATTATTATCTAGGGAAAAAAATGGCAAAGCTGCCAGTTTTGTTTAGACATCCATTAGATAAACGCAACAGCTGTTAAATTTATGGAAGCGCGATATGTATGCAAGGATCATACAGTTCCTAGGAATGGGAGGAAAAGTAACTTTTTTCAGTATCATGGCAACCTCGTGGCAACCTGTGAGGGTTTCTTTGAAATAAATTAGGTAGTTGCCTTCGTAGATTAGCTAAGGTGATAATCATACCCTTAAAAATTTCCTTGACACTCATTCTTCTGGATGAAAATGTACGAAGGATCACTAAGTCACGCTAGCTAAGGTCTTCTCTGCTGACTACCCCTGAGCAAGCTTATCCCTGAGGTCTTCTCTGCTGACTACCCCTGAGCAAGCTTATCCCTGAGGTCTTCTCTGCTGACTACCCCTGAGCAAGCTTATCCCTGAGGTCTTCTCTGCTGACTACCCCTGAGCAAGCTTATCCCCGAGGTCTTCTCTGCTGACTACCCCTGAGCAAGCTTATCCCTGAGGTCTTCTCTGCTGACTACCCCTGAGCAAGCTTATCCCTGAGGTCTTCTCTGCTGACTACCCCTGAGCAAGCTTTTCCCTGAGGTCTTCCCTGCTGACTGCTCCTGAGCAAGCTTATCCCTGAGGTCTTTCCTGCTGACTACCCCTGAGCAAGCTTATCCCTGAGGTCTTCCCTGCTGACTACCCCTGAGCAAGCTTATCCCTGAGGTCTTCCCTGCTGACTACCCCTGAGCAAGCTTATCCTGAGATCTTCCCTGCTGACTACCCCTGAGCAAGCTTATCCCTGAGGTCTTCCCTGCTGACTACCCCTGAGCAAGCTTATCCCTGAGGTCTTCCCTGCTGACTACCCCTGAGCAAGCTTATCCCTGAGGTCTTCCCTGCTGACTACCCCTGAGCAAGGACTGTGGTCTGGGAGCCTGGAGCCACAGCCGGGTCGACACTGCCTCCGCTTCCTTGTCGGAGTTCAAAGGCTCGAATCGATGATCTGAATGACAGTCACATTATTCTCCACGTTAAATGGCATTAACATGGCAAGTAAAATATTCAAAATAATGACTATGGTGACTTACCTATTTATGGTATTTGCAGTATAAAATATTTTCCTTGATTAGTGTTGTGCAAGCTAGTGCCTAATAAATTGTAAAGTAATGTATTTATAGTGTGCAGATAAATTGTGTATAAAATAATCGAGTACGTCAGAGGTAGTGTGAGGGAGAGTGCCAGTGTGAGGGAATGTGTTAGTGTGTGGGAGAGTGCCAGTGTGAGGGAGTGTGTTAGTGTGTGGGAGAGTGCCAGTGTGAGGAGGTGTGTTAGTGTGTGGGAAAGTGCCAGTGTGAGGAGGTGTGTTAGTGTGAGGGAGAGTGCCAGTGTGAGGAGGTGTGTTAGTGTGAGGGAGAGTGCCAGTGTGAGGAGGTGTGTTAGTGTGAGGGAGAGTGCCAGTGTGAGGGAGTGTGTTAGTGTATGGGAGAGTGCCAGTGTGAGGGAGTGTGTTAGTGTATGGGAGAGTGCCAGTGTGAGGAAGTATGCCAGTGTGCGGGAGAGTGCCAGTGTGAAAAAGAAGTGGTTGTTTTAGAGTGAGATCACTGGAGACACTAGACGAGAGAGACAAACAAACAGTGGCGGGGAACGCGGCGCGCGGAAAGTGACAATCATTTATGTGGTTTTGGTGGAAATACTTAGGTCGTAGGTTGTTTTCGTTTTATACTCAAGTTGGCCCTTGGAGGTGCCTGGCTCTCTTTTTTTGTTTTGTTTGTGGTCTTTGTGAGATGTGGCGAGTACTACAGAAATAATAGTATTTTTAGCAGCAGGCTGGAAGCCGTCGGAAGAAAGGGGTATGCGGCCGGCTTGTGTGGGTAATAATGTTTAATTTTCCTATGGCCCATAACCCTATGAGGGTTTAGCGCTTGGTTTTTACTATAATAATAATATGAACCAATTTAAATGTATTGGTTAAGGCTACTAGTGTATTATTTATATGGTATGGCTTATATTGCATATAATACTTATGTTGCATATAATGCTTATGTTGCATATAATAATTATGTTGCATATAATGCTTATGTTGCATATAATAATTATGTTGCATATAATGCTTATGTTGCATATAATAATTATTTTGCATATAATGCTTATGTTGCATATAATGCTTATGTTGCATATAATAATTATGTTGCATATAATGCTTATGTTGCATATAATGCTTATGTTGAATATAATGCTTATATTGCATATAATATTTATGTTGCATATAATGCTTATGTTGCATATAATAATGTTGCATATAATGCTTATGTTGTTAGTTTATCTGTCTTTCCTGAAGATCAGCCTAAGGTGTTGTTTACCTGTTAAATGTTTTGTCAGAGCACGAGTGTGTTAACCTAGGGCGGTATATTTTTAATGATTTTTATATTTACCACTAGACTAATATTTTACCCCTGGGGTCTTCAATAATTTCGTAATAGTCAGCAGCCTGAAAATAAGTAATCTACGTATGTAGTGGCTCTTTAAATCAGTTTAACTTATTACAAGGACATCTCACAGCACAGATTCTGATGCTCAGAGGTTGGGAGTCCATTTCACTGGTTCAGTAGTTCCCAACTCGCATTCGCACTACTAGATAGTTTTACCAGATATTAATTTTGCTGGGCAATGGTGGTGGAGTTCGTAAGTGTCGACACACAAACTGTCTCACTTTAAATTTCGTGGAGCGTCGACTTGTCCTCCTGTAGTTAACAACCACAACAATGGCCATGTCCATCAGCTTCCTCCAGCCCCACCAATCTGTGTAAATTAATATCGCTCCCAAAGGCAACGATATGATAAAGTATTCTCCAATAATTTGGTTATTCAATTAATTATTATATAAGCCTTCCCGAAGTGATGACAAAGCTCAAATCCCCCGTTGAAGTAATACTGTTTTTATTTTCATTTACAATGGCGTCCCCTGAAGAAAGAACATCTGTTTTCACTTACAATATTCGAATTATTTACTAAATACTCGATATCAGAGACTCGCTGAAAGACACGACCGAAGGTGGACGGACTGATTACATCACCACCAGTACCGCTGTCTACATTCCATGTGTCTCTGTGTTTGACTGAAGACACTTTCTGTGAAGGCGAAACGTTTGAACAATAAAGATACCCGACTGTTGTACATGTGTCTTACTCATCAACTTGTAGGTATTATGTACCATTTTCAGCATAGGTAAAGTTAAGTTGAAAATAACTAATTATAACATCCTACAAAGAAAAAATAGAGACAATAAAAAGTTCTGCGCGAACTGAGAACAGGGAACCACCCAGCACAGCAGACATAACTACGTCAGATTTTCACTATTTAAGGTGCCTTCTTCACCCACTTGACTGTCTTTACAACAGTGAAGTCATACCCGTTATTAAGAGGACGGGTTGCAGTTATGTGTTGATGTAGGCAAGTTTTTCCACAACCCTCATCAAGGAAGTTTAAGAGACAGGAGTGTGTATATGTATGTGTGTGTGTGTGTGTGTGTGTGTGTGTGTGTGTGTGTGTGTGTGTGTGTGTGTGTGTATGTGTGTGTGTGTGTGTGTGTGTGTGTGTATGTGTCTTGCATGGAGCGGTCCAGTTCGACGCTGGGGATACTAACAGAAAATTGTGCCAAAAGAGGCAGCGATTAGTGACCCCTCGCTTGGTAAATACTTTCCATGACCCTAATAATAATGACTGAGTGGGAATTGCGGTATCTGGGCTTCCCTCTCGAGTGGGAGATCACATGGGAGTACGTGAGAAAATCAGGAAGCAGGAGAGCCCATGGTTATTTGTTTGCAAAGACAAGCTGTAATCTAGGTACCTCTATTTCTGTTTAATCTTCTAGATAGGTGAGATTAGGACTATAAATTCTAATACAAATTAGGCTCACCTAGAATGTCCTGTTGGGGAAGCCACTTGCTGATCTTCACATTGTCAGGCAAGCAGTGCAGTTCGTCCTCGAACTTCCAGAGGACGCGCTGCGACACCCGGCTGAACGCCTTGACGAAGAGCTCGATGTAGCAAGCAGGCAGCGTCGAAGCCGTGAAGACGGAGCCCAAACTGAAGTAAATGACTCCATCTGGCCCGGCTCCTGTAATCCAAGATTCCAGCTCCTGCAACACGGCTCTGTGTTATTCATAAAGACACGCTGCACCCACAAGTGTCAGTGTAGCCCCTGGGGGAGGCTTGATTCTGTGAAGTGGGAAAGAAGCTCCACCTCATTGGATTAAGAACACTTCAGCACGAAGACATTCTCTTTGAAGGAATTCTTAATCCAATCACATATAGGCTTTACGATTGTTACATTATGAAAAAAAGTTAATATATGATCCCTGATTATTATTATCAGAAAAGTATTAACAAGATACTGGCTCTGTTACGAAGCTTTATTTAATAATTTTTGAGACAATATAGGCAAAATAACTGGAAGACTCATGGTTAACTCACTGACCTGAGGGAGAGGGTTGCCTGGACGACAGTGCATGGCCCCCACTTCCACCTGTGAGGGCAGGAGAGGCAGGACGGGACCCATGGAGAAGTGAGTGTTGAGGAGAGTAAGACTTGAGTTCTTCTCGAGTTCTAGCAACGACGGCAACTCCGGGAACAGAGAAGAGATCTGGAGAAGCACACACACACACACACACACACACACACACACACACACACACACACACACACACACACACACACACACACACACACACACACACACACACACACACACACACACACACGAGTCATCTGCTATAATAATTGTCGAATATTTAAATAACTTTTGTAATTAAAGATTGATGAGAAAACATTTAGGACATTGCATTATGGAAACGTTTCTGTCATATGACATCGTTCATCCCATACATGGGGCTCGGACCTAAACATTTTCTTCATAAAATGCTCCGTTTGCTTATGGATCTATAACCACGATTTGTCGATATTTATATACCAGGTTAACAAACTTTTGTGGCTATTGTATAACCAGTCATGAATCCCTAAGGCTTAGGTGGCTTGTGTCACTAATGACCCTCGTGTAGCTGACACTCGTTAAAATAAGAACATATCGTTGATGTTAGTGTTTAGGTAAGCATTATCCTTGAAGACCCTTGTGTAGTTGATAGGATTTCAGAGAGCAAGAATCAAATTGAAAAGGAAAATCAAAATTATTTAAAAAGGTATTTACATAAAATTATGAGGATTACATGAGTATTACATAATAAGGTAATACTGGGTAGACTGTAACCTGACTGAATTTGACAGTCAACAGGTCCGAGACCTAAAAATAAGGATATATTATTTAGCTGGCGCAGTAACGCAATTACTAAAAACCTTTGCTGCAGGTGACAGTAACATACCTCTTTCTGGACGAGGGGAATGACAGTCCAGTATCTCCATTTGATATCCATGTGTAACTGTTGGATTAAGTTTGAGAATCGACGCCAGGCTAATACTAGGAAGTGCGAATCAAATTTAACAAAATGAGTCGGGTTAATAACATTGCCCATGACTGCACTCTGACTCGGTTCTATCTCTCGAGCTGACAGTGTTATGAAGGGAACCTCGTGCGTGAAGGGATAAACTACCTGTGGGAGATGAAGAAGGTCACGGAGGTTAATGAGACAGCATCAAGTATAGCTGCTGTGGTTAGTAGAAAATGATCCTCTCGTTTTGTTGATAGAAATATGCAGGATATCATTTGTTAAGCTTTAGTTATATAGTAAATAATTTCTTCAATAGAAAGTAAACGTGAAACTTCAGTTAAAATAAGAGTCACAGTGCAGTTAAATTCACAGTGACGTTTCGGTTTGTGTTGGACCATTATCATGTTGCCACTAGATAACGTCCAGGATGCACCGAAAGACCACACAATTTCCAATTTTAATTTTTGGGCCTCGTGTGACGCGACGTACACGCCATTGAACAAGAACTATACACAGGTGAAGGAAGAATCTTGAGTGACTCACCTCGTTGTACCTGTGATTGACCACTATGAGGTCAAACTCTTTCCTCCTCTTGTAGATCTCTTTCACCGCTGGCAGGAGGTACACCTCCCTAGCAACCATAGGTAGAAACTCTGCCATCATCTTGACGATGTTTCCAGGAGTGTTGTTGAATAGGCTCGAAGTTGCATTTTTGCTTATTACGTACGAATTGAAGTAGGGAATTTCTTTTATGTTGGGATGGTTGGATATCTCAGTACCGCTTGTCAGCATCACTACCTGTGGAAAACAAAAATAAGAACGTGAAAATTCGTGTTTTGGTATACGCGAAGACTATTTCGTGTATGATAGTTTTATTTTGAACCGCATACATATACATACCCATCCTGAGGTTGGTAGTAAAAATGTTTACAAATGTACATGAAGGTCCAGGAGCTGAGCCCCTACAACTATTAGCCAAGTAGCTTTGTAAATGTTATATTGTATTGGGTCAATGGTGAGATTTGGCGTTTATGACAAATGCACTGTCAGTTTAGACATGGAAGCCTGTGTTAATGTTAACAAGGAAACCTGCATTAATGCTGACAAGGAAACGTGCAATAATGCTGACAAGGAAACCAGCAATAATGCTGACAAGGAAACGTGCATTAATGCTGACAAGTAAACCTGCAATAATGCTGACAAGGAAACGTGCAATAATGCTGACAAGGAAACCAGCATTAATGCCGTCAGCGTAACTCCTCTCACTTTGGAAAATCATTTTGACAGTTTCAGGCAAACATTGTTTTCAATTTTAATTGAGAATCTCATCATGAAGGCAGTCATAAATTGTCTACCTCCTTCGCAGAGTAGAAATTGGTATTATGCTTTTGTTTCTGGTTCTGTATTTTGCAAATATGGAAGATCTTAAAGTTGTTTAAACCACGTGATAAAAGACGACACAGAGGAAACTCATAATAATGATAACGAAGACGGAGATCATGAGAGGAGAATTGAGTTCATTAGTATCTTAGTATTAGTTAAATATTCAGGAAAAAGTTTAATACTAGGGTGTCAACAGAAACACTATAGCTTGCAGTTTTACCCTCGTTTTGTTCTTGTAATTTTGCTGTGGCAGCAGAAAGATTCAGTCTTACAGACATCTGTAATAGTCATTGACAATAGTCATTGGTGTCCTGGTAATACTTGCCTGAGTGCGTCACAGGTACTGTCCAGTTTACAGATGAATAACAATTATTACTGATCAGATTGAATTAACCAATGGAGTGGCATCCATAGGTACATGGTAAAAAAACTTGATTAATGGTCTCAGACGCTGATCCAAACTATATTTATGCTCAATAAAGTGATCATTGTTCTCTCATCCACTTCAGGTGAGTGTGTTTGTTCCAGCCAAAACTTTGTGGCAAATATGACACCCATTTTAGGAAGCTATATAGGGAATTATATACTACCATCATTTTTATCAGAATAAAAGTATAAAAGATAACTATCCTTACTTACCTAAAAATAATTCAAGTATATATGTTCATGTTCACATGAATATAACCAATAAACATGTAATCAACACTTGTCGATGATAATTAATAAAGTACCTGAAGACAGGCACACGGAAAATAAAATTGGTCTGTGTACTTCGACCCCAAACTGGAGTGTTCTTGTAGAGCAATCTAATACCCATCCTGTACTCTGCCAGAGCGCTCTGACACCCATCCTGTACTCTGCCAGAGCGCTCTGACACCCATCCTGTACTCTGCCAGAGCACTCTAACACCCATCTTGTCCTCTCCCAGAGCACTCTAACACCCATCCTGTACTCTGCCAGATCACTTTAACACCCATCCTGTACTCTCTCAGAGCCCTCTCACAGGGCACTGTAACAGGTGTGCCTCTCAGGTGAAGACGACGGTATCTTGAACATCAGGTGAGGAAACAGGTGAGTTTGTGGGCTTCAGGTGAACTGATGAGAGGCCCCGTGGACATACTGTAGTCCGTCACTTCTCTGTTTATTCCACTTTACTCTATATATTCAGCATGAGACGAGGTGTAGGCTTGATCCTCCGTCCGCTGAGCGCGAGACAAACGCCCTTCCCGCTAGTGTTCAGAGAAAGACAGACACATATTGCCACTGATTTAAAGGCGCTAGCAATTGATGCTAGTCATTCAGAATCACATGGACGATCTAGAATTACTCTGGATCCTAAGGATGAGATACCAACACTTGGAGTAGTAACCTGTGAACATTCAGATAAACCTGTGCCACTTCGGGATGCTTACCTTATGGCCGCGGTCGGCCAGACCCTCAGCGAGTATCATGAAAACATTCCTGTGACTTTTGGAGGAGATAGGAAGGAGCATGAGTATCTTGTAGGACTTTTCAGGAGGGGCAAGCATCCCCTGGACGCCCATGATCACTGCTGCAGCCACCACCAGCACCCACACTGTCTGCTGCTTCATTTTCTACACCGATGTGTCTGCTGGACCCACTTTATTGTATTTGTTGATTCTCTTCTTATGTAATAGAGAGTGTTACCTGCATTAATGAGGCTGAGGCCAATGCAGATCCAAACTCCTAGATCGTGTTATGGCATTAAAGGGAAGCAAATTTTTTTCCTTGAAAATCATACCACGGGCTGGGTTAGAACCCGCGATCGGTCTCAAAACTCCAGACCGTCGCGTTAGCCACTAACGCGACGGTCTGGAGTTTTGAGACTCTGATCGCGGGTTCTAACACCGCCCGTCGTATGGTTTGTTTGCAATCGTGTCATTACGATTTCGTGAGTCGAGTTACTTTGCTTGTTTATGTATGCTAAACTTAACAGCCTATAGGGCTGTTATTTAGCTTGTTATCAAGTACTGGACACATCATTTGATAAACAGATACTGATCTCATAAAGTTTCTCTTTACAGTACACCCAAAATGTACTATACGGAGGAGCTTTATAAAAAACAATCTTATTGCATCATAAAACTATTTTGTGTCTTTGTCATAGTGAATATTAAATAAAAAACTTGGAGCCATAGGCCAGAGTTATCACAGTGTGAGGAACAAAAGAAAACGGGAAGTGAAACTTAGTAGTTTAGTCACTGTCAGTTTAACAGAATTATTATGCACCTCTAATCCAGCCTGTGGGTGTTAAACATAAGGCTTTCTGAGGTACATAATGGCTCCAGTAAATAAGCCCCTGATTAACTTAGAGACATGAGTGTATGGTAAAGGTTACCATATTTGTTGCGACTTTTAAAATTTAGGAACGCCCTGCTTGCTTGTTTTGTGAGTATAACATTATCCGCCTTAGTTCCAGGAAGGTGAACAAAGAAGGAAAGTAACCCCAGAGAAGGCTTTACCTGAAGTCCTCATGGAGGGGGATTCTCCTTCCAAACACTAACCCCAACTCCCTCTCTCCTCCTCCCTATCTTTCAGATGCCATCACCAATCTTCAATAAAGGTAAGTAAAAATGTTATTTTATATTTATATACATAATTAAACACTATATTTGTTGTGTGTATGTAAAACTATAATTAATCTCTATAATTTTTTTTTTTGTGAATATTTTTGGGTTTCTGGAACGGATTAATTGTATTTCCATTATTTCTTATGGGAAATATTGTTTCGCTTTTCATACTTTTCGAATTTAGAACTTCTGGAACGGATTAAATTCGATATTTGAGGTTCCACTGTACTTTCCTTGTTGTTCTCTTTTTCTGAGTTTTCCTCACAGTGTTGTTAATGTTTCGTTTCACAGATACTGAGTTAAACTCAATGATGAAAAAAAAGGTACAATACCGTGACTGGAACAATACCGTGACTGGAACTATGCACAAATCACTAGTTAATGGCTCAATTCGGAGCGAAACATCGTTGTAAGTTTTAATCCCCTGTGTGCTGTGTAATGTATTTTCTCTTTTTTCTCTATTTAGATCTTCGGTACGAGCAAATGTTACTAATGAGAAAAAAATATTATACCATTACTACGGTTTTGCTTAATTACTGCCTTTGTTATTGTTTTAATCTTTACTGTTTTAATTACTGTTTTATTTGTTATTATTATTACGATCATGATAATAGTTTTGCATTTCACTGTTTTTACTCTGAGTCGACTTCTCTCCACCTGCTGCTGCTTCTCGTTTACTTAATCTTCTCATTATAATCTTCTAAGCCAACTAAATGCCAACTAAAGCGTCAGACACTGTAATTTCATCCTACAGCAAGGAAATCAAAATTTCTATGGTAGGACTACGTACGGCCAGTAGTAACAGCCTGGTTGATCAGGCCCTGATCCACCGGGAGGCCTAGTCGTGGATCGGGCCGCGGGGGCGTTGATCCCCAGAATACCCTCCAGGTAGACTCCAGGTAGGAATTGTTAGAGGTTGTTCACCCCTCTGTTAGTTCTTGTTATTTAGAATTCGAGTCTGTTTTCTCACGAATATATTGATATTCCCAGTCGTTAGGTTTTATATGAAATGTGAGAAATTCTAGTTTGATGCTGAAGGTCGGGAAGATAATCTCTACCCCTGTATACACGCACATAATTACCTGACACACACACACACACACACTCATTAGACACTGTGTATGTACGTGCATCTGTGTGTGTGTGTGTGTGCGTTAAAACGGAATTCCCTGTGTGTGTGGCTACCTGACCAATATACAACAGCACTACTAAAGGGCACGGTTGCCAGATCACCTCAGTTGACACGAGGTAATCAAGCTCACTCTCTTAATTAACCTTTACTTTGAGTTATATCCCTGACTCTGAGCTCTGAATTGCGACATATACTGGAGAAGAAAAGAAAACTTAGTTTTTAGAAGGCTTCATATAATTAATTATCATGCTTGTCAACGCACTTTCTCAGAGTCACACTGACTCATCACTTAGAAAACAATCAGGAAGATCCACTGAAGAGCAAATCAGGTGCAAATATTCCGTGTTTTTTTCTGAATCTTCAAAAGAGTGGATTCGTGTTGACGTACATCGCGCCAATGGTACAAATCAACTAACCAATAAAAAGTAACGAGGCTATAACCAGAAAGGCGGTACGGGTACGGTAAATAACTACTTATCAAAACTATGGGACTGATCACTCCAGACGACTGTACGTCTTCCACCGTCTCTGGGGAAATATTCTCTGAAATGAACTGACAAAGACTCTAGCTGGCGTAACACCTCCACCAGAAAGATGGCCAGGTACTGTACATTTGTCTTATTCATGTACCTTAGGGACCGACAACTGGATTTCTGTCTGAAGCAAGTTTGTTCTCTTTTCTAAGCCTGTGTGTGTGTGTGATATTATATATATATATATATATATATATATATATATATATATATATATATATATATATATTATATATATATATATATATATATATATATATATATATATATATATATCACTGCAACAGACGTTTCCGTAAAGAACTGATTTTTCAGTGTACGATGTCAACGTTAAAATGTATTTATTACTAACATGTCAAAAATTTTAACAAGCAGTAAATTGCTTCTAGTGGACTGGTGCTGATCCAATCATGGAACATTTTTGAGTGACGTGCCTCATGATTATCTGGAAATCGGGTTACCTGCTCAAAATATGTTAGTGTTATTAGAGGGAAGGTTTGTGTGGGGGATTTTGCACTTGGCCATAACACTGAGAGAAGAGAGGTCGTGATGGGTTGTCGTGGTGGGGCTGTTGCAACTGCTGCTGTTGCTGGTGCTGTTACTGCAGGTGTTGGTGCCGCTGTTGCTGTTGTAGCTGCTGCGGCTGCTGCTGTTGTTACCGCTGTTGCCATTGCTGCTCCCGTTTTTGCTGCCGTTACTGGTGGTACTTCTACTGCTGTTGCTGCTGCTACAGATGCTGTTGCTGCTGTTGCTGTTGGTGCTGGTTCTCCCCAGTGCCTTAAGTTAGGCGTCACCAATGTGAGTAACTTTTTTGTTTGACCTTGAAGCACCCGGACGGAGGATCGAGCCTCCACCACTCCTTGCGCTGAATGGCCCACACAAGTTTAGCGCTTCAATTAAATATCGTCTGCAAAATAAGATCGAAATAAAAAGAAAATAAGAAGAAAATAAGACGAAAATAAGAGGAAAATGAATATTTTAAGTCAATTAGTTTAAGACAGTATTGCCAGTGCCGTAAAACAGTGTTGCCAGTGCCGTAAAAGCAGTACTGCCAATACCGTCAAAAATCTTGTAGTACAGGCCATCAATTTTTTTTATCTCTTTAAAGACTTAAAAGATCTGTACTGAGCTTGGTAAAAAGAAAAAAGCTTTGGATATAAAGCTTATAAAGAGAAGCTTGAGTACGAGAGTTGAGCTTCTTTCGAGAAAAGTGGACGGAGGACCGAGCCTTCACAGGCGTGTTTAATCTTTCACACACACAAACACGCATATTATATGTATATATATGCATATATATATATATAATATATATATATATATATATTATATATGTATATATATATATATATATATATATATATATATATATATATATATATATATATTATATATATATATATATAATATATATATATATATATATATATATGTAAAGATGGAGACTTTTGATTAATTTTCTCCCTTAAAACAATTTAGAGAGCAAATCAATTTAAAATTTTTGACAGTTTACCCAAAATTATAATTTAAAATTTTTTCTAGTCTTTTTTTTTAGGAAATACAAACAAAAAAAGAAAAATCTGCTAAAATGAATATATTTTTGGTTAAAAATGTTAATTTAAAGTAACAGAGCATATTATTACAAATTTTAATTCTTTTCTACACAATATGCTCATATTACGACAATTTTCAGTAGAGAGTTTCATGTTTCCAGTGACCTGATAAAGTTATACCTTCCCACCAAGAGATATTTTCTTCTTCCAGTCACGATATTCAATCATAAATATCTTGCCCGAGCGCTTGAATCTGTACCAAATATTTCACAGGGGATCAGAGACTGGCCTCGACGTAATCCTGTTTACTTAGCTCTAACTCTCGTGGCAGTTCCTAAGTTTTACAAGCATTAAATCTTCACATTGATCCTCTTATACCTAAGCTCCGGCTGAAACAGCGTATTGGCTGGAGAGTACGAGGATAGAGATGAAAATCTGCTTGTACTGGCTCCTAGTGGACAGCATTTCGTTCCTATGTGCGATATGCACTGACGCTTTGCCTCCCCCAATATAAAAGCTTGTCCTACTAGCTAGATACATAGCTAATAGGATAGATAGCTAATAAGATTTATAGCTAATGAGACAGCTACGTTATTAATATACTCACAGGGAAGAACTAATTCTCTACGGATCATACATTCTGTAATTAAGAGGAATTATTGTTATAGTCAAGGGGAGGTGACAAGCGTGCCAGGGGTCGTACAGCGCCTTGGAAATAGGATGTAATCAAGTTTGATATAAGTTAACTACAATTAACTGAATAGGTAACGTACATTATCCTATCTCTCCACTCACTTAAAAAAGTGCAGATGTTTTAACATTTCATCAAACTGTCTTGGTGTTGCATCAGTGTTAGAGGTGAACGCAGCTGTCACGACACGTAATGTTTACGGTGTTAAAAGAGTGCAGAAAGACCCTTTATTTATACAAAGTTTCGCTCTAAGCAGAAGTTGAAATACTTCCATCCGTAGTCGGGTGGTGACAATCTCGGCTCCCGTCCGGGAGGCCAGGTGGTCATTCTCCGGAAGGAGGATCGAGCCTCAAGCGTTCCACACACATTTAAAAATGAAATTGTTTAAAAACAAAAACCAAAAAA